TAAAAGCTTTGCTTAATTTAATATATATATATACATATATATATTCAATTAAACCTTATTTTATTGAGTAATTAATGTGATTGTTTTAAATAAGTCAAATCTTACATTTATTATACTCAAGGGTACAATTAAAAAATTTGAAAATTTTAAAAAAATCAAAGTCTTAATCAAGTTTTCTTGATAAACATAAATTAATTAATAATAATTTATACTATGATCTGGAAGAAGCAATGTCTTACTCCCTTTATCTTTATATATAAAATGTTTTCAATTGAGTTACATAAATCAATAAAAATTGATTGTCTAATTAAAAATATATCAATGTTTTAATTTTTTCATTTAATTATTTAAATAAAAATGAATCTCTTATTTTAAAGTAAATTGATGAGAGTACTTATATTTTTTTAATTTAATAAAGGTATAATAATTTATTCATTAAAAAATATATCAAAAATTTTTATATTTAAGAATAAAAAAATTTTTATATATAAAATTAGAAAAATATATTTTAAACTATAAGACTTATTAAAAATATCTTATATAATTTTTTTTGGCCAAAAAATATCTTATATAATTTAAGGAAGCATTCTCTCTATTCCCACATGTGTGTGTGTCTCACTCCAATGCTCTCTTTAATTACTTTGTCAGACTCTTCCAGATCTAAGTCAAACTTTTTTACTATTCCATAAATTTATAGTTATTATAATTATTTATAAATTTTTAATTATTTAAATTAATATTTTTAATTTATTTTTAAAAAAAATGATTATCAGAACCTAACTGTTGTTACTTAAATCTTTTAAGAATTACTTCCTTTAGACCATAATAAATAATATAAGATACTGATAATTATTACTTCACAATTTTAAATAAAGGTTAATTGAAATTTTAATCTCTTAAAAATTTTTACACTTTTTCAATTATATCTGTGTTAAATATCATATATAAATACCTTAATAGTAATAATTAAAATTTCAATGCATTATTTTAAAAAAATTAATAAGTAAAAAGGATATTGTTGAACTAAATAATATTTTATTTTGAGCTAAACAGAACTTTTAAAAGATACTTTCTACTATAGTGTAAGCTGGGATTTAAATCTCATAAGTGATATAAATCTATTCACTCAATGAGTATCATAATTATTTAATTTAATCAAATAATTTTTAAAGATTTCAGATATAATATTTCAAAAATACAAAATTTTTAATATTTTAAAAAGATAATATATATAAAAAAAAAGTTTGAAAGTGAGTATTATTTTAAATTTTTATAAAAAATATATTTAATAATTTTTTAGTATTAATAAAATTTAAATGTTATAGTTGAGATACTCATCAAGTTACTGAAATTAGGTCAGTTGTCAAATTCAAATCAACATGTTGGCACGGATGTGGTTCTCCCTTGAAGATTTCACCAACTGTGTGTCTCACTCTTCAATGCCCTCTTTAATTATTTTGTTGACTCTTACAAGGTCAAGTACCTACTTTTTACCCCTTCCACGAAGCTATGCTTTTATCCGCCAGCCCTAGCACTCCAATTCCTTTCAATTGGTCATATGCCCCACGGCATCTCAATTTTATTGTTACCTTTATGAAATATATTTTAGGAAATCATATTTATTGTTGCTTTCAGTTTGTTTTATCATATTTTAAAAAAATTAACTTTCATACACTTTATCTTAAATTTTAATAAGGTTTTACCTCTAAATTTATAATAAAAGTAAAAAGAATTATTTTAAATAATTTTTTCAGCAATTAATAAAGACATAATAATAAAAATGAACTAGAAAGTAGTAAAATTAATGTTTTATAAATAAGATTAAAATTAATATTCTCTATTTATCTTATAAATAGACCATATGAATACCTTTTTAATTATAGCTTAACAATTATAATTTATAGTAAATTAAATCATAAACAATGAAACCTAATCAATACCAATATTAGAAGCCACACAGTTCTTATATGAATATATGCAATACAAATTTTGCAGAATAACTCATTTTAGAATAAGTACAAATCATGAGAATAAAACTAGAGATCATTCAAAAAAGAAAAAAAAGGGAGACTTGGTCATTTCGATCTCTCAAATTATTGTGGTAAGCAATAGCTGCCTTGCTTTTTAATTCCATGCCATTTGGCTGCTTCAATTATCCAGGTGACGTGTTTGTACTTCTTTTAATAATTTTGGGCAAAATGGGAAAGCGAAAGCCCTTTCACCCTTTCTTTCTAAAAAAAAGATATATTCAAGAAATTATGGAATACATGTCCCTCGGTCCCAAATAACATTGAATTAAAATCCTAATAAATATGAAAAAAAAAATTCCATGTGATTCTATTTTTCTTTTAATTAGTAAAGAATAATCTGGATAATCTAAATAAATAATGAACATGTGAGGCACCAAATAAGGAAGCTCTCGTTTTAGGCCTGAATGGATAAGGAGGTTTAAAGTTTTAGAATCCATTGACACTTACGCCATATGTCACGATTATATTGGTTCTATTAGTTAATTGTAAGAATGATTCTAATTAAATTATTAAATTATTATTTTTTTCCCCGAACATCGATATTTTAAGCTCTACGCGTCTGCCCTTCATTTTCTCGCAGGATCTTGTGGACTTGACCTTGTCAAACGTTTCTGTACGAGGTTAGATCTATATTTGGAAGGAATACGTTCATATAAATATTTTATATTTAGACTGCTTAAATTTATTTTTAATGATTTTTTTTATATTTTTAATTTAAATAATAATAATTTTGTATATTTGAGATAGAAATATAAATAGTTACTTCAAATTGAAAAGGTTCACGAGAAGTACACAATTTTACGAGGCCTGCTGCGGATGATTCATAAAAGGGTCAATGAAAATTCTAGAAAAATTATCCCAAGCAACATTCTACATTTAAAAAATGTAAAAATACATTTTAAAAGTTAAAAGTTATGTATTCAAATGAATTCTTAGTATCTTCCATCCACATTGAATGGTGGATGGTTCTTCAATTTCTGGAGATGTTTTGTTGGATAAGATTTTGCTTGTAAAACCAATCAAACATTTAATAATTTATAAATTAAAAAAATATAATTTTAAATCCCTATACTTCATTTAAATTTTATTATAAATTTATATATTTTTTTAAATATTAAAAATTTTTATTTTTTAATTTTTTAATTTTTTAATTTAAGTAAAGTGTAAAAATTTAGAGTTATATTTTCACTTTATAAATATTAAATAAAATCTTTTACAAAATTTTACTACATACACATTAATCTATTTATATTGATCGATGAGGACACGTCCGGCGGATAAATGCAGAGCGACTTCCTTGCCTTTCCTTTTTGGTTTTTTTTTTTTTTTTTTTTGCAAATTTAACGCTGTGAAATTTGACTATTGAAAATTCAATAATTACGCCTCTTTTGCACCGTGCTAAGTTTTAGGACCTTTTCTTGTGGAATCCGTTTGTCAATTTTCTCATATTGATGAAAGTGGCTAAACCCACTCATTGTTTCAGCACGTGGTAATGATTTATATTTGTACCTGTTTCAATCAAAATGATGGAGTGCTCCATAAATTTTACAGCCAAATTTTTTTTTTAATACTTACCTTTCCAAAATACAAAGCACTTTTTTGTGTGATAATATGTTAAAAAATATCCTTAAAACTCATTAATTTTATTTAAAAATTTAATAATTTTTTAATTTTATTTTTATTAAATATACATATTTTAATGACATCTTTTTTCTTTCTAACATTCAAAGAAAGGTAAATATAAAAATTTATAATGAAAATTAATGAGGTGAGTTATTAATAGAAAAAAATTTCTATTTTTACATTATAAATAAGATCAGAGAAATTAATCAAATTTTTCAAAAATATCCTTAATTAAGGGGTGTGATTAATAAGATTCTCTAATTAAAACATCTTATTAAATAAAGAATAACATGAAAAGAAAATATAATTTTAAAAATAATTAACTAACTTATTGAGAGTGTAATTCAATTAAAAATACTTATAATATGAAATGGAAAGAGTACACTCTCTCTAGACCAAAATATAGAGTATTTGTAACTAATTCACAGTTTTAACAAAATGTTGGTTGAAACCTTAATTTATTAAAAATTTATATTTTTTTAATTTTATCTTTATTAAATACTCTATATAAGTGCTTTGATAATAATAATTAAAATTTTAATGCATCTTTTTTCAAAAAAAAAAGTAACAAATAAAGTACAAGTATAGCTAAAAAAATAATTATTGAAGTTAACCAATGCTTATATTTTAAATCAAGCAAGACTTTTAAAAAATGTCTTATATTACACTCTTTCCATCCTAAATTATAAGACACTTTTGGAAGAAATTTGTTGTCCCAAAAATATAAAATACTTTGAAAAAATTAAGATTTGATTAAATAATCTTATTTTAATATTGTCCTTTCTCTCTTTATTTAATACTAATTAAGTGTAGATTTAAGTATATTAAATGAAAGGTATTTTTAAAAATTTTATATTTTTTTTTGAAAAAATAAGGTCGTTGAGTGTATTTAATTAAGTTTATTGATATATAAAATTTTATTTAAAAATGTCTTATAATTTAATATAGATGAAATAATTTGGAAGGACTATATCATAAACAAGTGCAAACATAATTGTTCATCCATGAATTATCTATTTTAAGTGATGACTTTATTTTCCTTAAGTGACAACATGTATGAAATAGAAACTCATTAATAATTAAGCAAGTTCAAATCATAAATTGACAATCACCAAAGCTTGCGCATACACACATCAAAAATTAACTATTAACTCATTCGTCAACGAAACTTTTTTTTGAGGATCTGAATGTGCTAATTAATAATTACGTATTAGAATATCTTAAGGAGGTTAATTTAACGACAAAACGCCTCCAAAATAGTATATCTTGAAGCATTTTGGAGAGCATTCTAAAATCTTAAACATATTTTGAAAATCAAAATAAGGCTAGAATAGAACAAGACTGAGCTTCACAAATTATAGGCTGCATGCCCGTTGACGCGTGGATTAAGGGCATAACAATGGGTCGTTGCTATTAAACGAAGCGTCTTCTGCAAGTGGCGGATCCATTTTTGCTTGACTTCACAAAACTAAACTACCATTGACGCGTGACTAAGGGTGAGAGGACTCTCCATTTTCCACATACAAATAAAACCCCACATCTCTTTCAACTTTCAACTCCTTCACCGTCAAAAACAATAAAAAACACATTATTCTCAGATATTCCATTTCTAAATCCAAGTGTCAATGCACGAAGGATCTCCGTAGACGGTATTTACTGTTTTACCGGAAGGATAGGCAAGCTCTCGACCACATAGGGACCAACTGAGTAACCCAAACACGAAGGGCTTGCGTGCTCTTTTAACTTTGGACCCATTATTTGTCCAAGCCAGTTTGCCATACAAAATCTATGGAATGAAGGTCTGACACTTAACGGGCTAGTCACTGTCCCAAGCCCCATCTTCCTCGTTTGGGCCTCTCTTGTGGCTCGTTATTTTTAACAGCATTCCGCCCCTCTATCCCCACTGACCCTCCAATTGGGTCTAAAACTCTTCCTCAGAATCTGATGAATGCCACAGCCTGTTTTCCGAATCACCAGCTATATCTTCGGGTCCAGGTTCTAAACTCAGCGACCGTTGGTTTATGACAGCTCTTCCTATCCTACCTTGCTTCCCCCTCACATTTCTGGGAACATCAAACCCATCCCAGTTTTGATCAGAATCATCACCTCCAACCCCATGATGCCTCACACCATTTCTCCTGCGTCTCTTTGTATGATATGCGTGCTTGTCCTCGCAGTTGCTATTGTGCTCACCGCTGACACTTGACTCTCTTGATGATTCATTTTCTTCCTCGTCAGACTCCCACATTGCATTGTCAAGATCACTGAACATACTTTCCGATTCAGAATCATCTATGGTTGAATTTCTCCTAAGTTCACCTTCGTCTCTATTTGAACTTCCGTTACCTTGGGTCTTGCCAAAGTTATTTCTTATTTCCCTGTCCACCCTACTGACCTTGGACCTGCCTTTAGCCTCACTAAAGTCATCAGAATTACTGTCAGGATCGGCAAGCCACTCCCCATCATAGTCATCATCATCATCATCATCATCAGACAGTATATTGTTTTCAACATCACTATCACTAGCCTGCTGCTTAGCATGCGCAGTCTGCCGAAACCTTGAACCTCTAACCTTATCATCATGATCATCATTTCCAGAAACATCAAATTTTCTGAATCTTCCTCCAAATTCTTCTCTGTTCCAATACCTCATTCTGCCAAGTTCTTCTTTTTCTTTTGCCTCTTCAGCTTCATATTCTTTATCTGCAGCTTCTTCTATCTCGGCAATGAATCGGTCTAGCTCTTCCTGGTCACTATCAATAGAAGGCCCTGGCTCTTCCAAATCTTCAACAGTTTCTTTAGCTGACAGTTTGCCTTCATGAAAAACATAAGGGCTCCCTTCTTTCTTGTCAATAGCATTGAAGAATGTTGAAGCAACTCTCTGGATGCTGGCCATGGCAGCTGGATCCTCAGGATTTACACCCATCCGCCGTAGCTGCTGCTCTATTTTCTTTATGTTTAACTTTTGAGATTCAAGAGCTTGCTCAAATCTGGCCTTAAAAAGAGCCTGCATGCGACAGACAAATATATTACTTATGCAAAAATCAAATTCTTGCAGTAACGGACATCACAACTGGAGACCATAATGGAGAATGGAAAAATAGGTGTTTATTACAGTAAAACTAAGCAGGGTCTTTAGTCTCTTGATCACATTCGAACATGTCAATATATTCATTAGGTGGCTATGGAAAATATGATCATTTCACTTAGGGTAATTTTATGGAGAGCATTACCTCTTAAGAGAGGTTGGGCTTTCTCCAAAAGAGAAAGCTCAATTAAATTATTCCATGATTTATCAATCATTCACACAGTCTTCAGCACCTATTTGGTTCAAGTACGGGATGGTTTAAGAAAATTGCTCTTTTTTTAGCTACATCTATTTAGAAACTTCATTCGTATTGGCTATCTTACCATCACAAACTCTAAAAATCAGGCAAGAATTTTATCTTTTTCCAGGGTAACAAACAGTGCTAAGCTACTACATATTGTTCAATAACTTCAGGCCTAAAGCAAATAATTCATATTTGTAGAGTCAACCTCTGGGTAACTTAAGCACTGCAGATAACATAATAGGTTGGGATATAATTATAGATGTCGAAGTAGAGTGGTGTAGCTCAAATAAATAAATAGACAAGACATTGCAAACCTACCTTCCTCTTTGTGAGGGTGTTAATAGGTATCAAATTTTTGGGCTGGCGATAGTTTCTGCCACGGAACATAATAATTGTTTTCACATTATGGATATTTATCACAATACCTCCACTCAATCTAGCAAGCATTGTGGCCATTTCTTTGATTTTTTCCTTGGGGAAGTTGTCACAGCAAACTTGAACAGTCTCATGAAACTTCCAGTGAAGATGCATATTTTGCACAACACCACCAAAAACTCCTCGTACACCAACGGGAACATAGTTCTTATTCCTGAAACCAATCTTTTTATATGCCTGAAGCTGTTCAGGTGTTAAGAGCTCCGGATCATGTCGAGGAGAAGGCAATTCTGGAAGCTCATATTTCTTGAGTTTTTGCAGGAGCAATGCTACTTTCTTCTTGGCCTGCAATAATTGGAAGGGAGGAAGGTGATAAATGAAAGATTATATAAGAGCTAGGATATAACCGAGTGAAAATATATCAAGTAGTACAAACGTGCAATCTGTTAGTTATATAGACTTGAAATATGCCATTTGATTATCATTATATAGGTAGAAAAAGCAAATCACCAAACAATCAAAGGCAATGCATAATCCAAATCGAAAGTAAAAAAACACAAATTTAAAACTAATGATGGCATATCTTTTTTTTTTTTTAATGAAGAAAGATGGAGAATCTCTAGCACAAGATCATTCAATATCAATCTGAGTCCAGCTACCTAAATGAGGTCCCCTGCATCTCATAATTTTCAACTACCTAAAAAATTGTCATTAACAAGTACGAATCTGTCACTGTGGAACTAAATGAGCTTGCCCCTTTTATGTAAGAAAATCTAAGATCTGGCAACTCATGTAATACAACTCTGTTAAAAGCTGCATATCCATATGCAAAGTAATAAATAAAAGTAGAATAGAGTATGCAGCATCTAAAATTATAATAGCTGATTGACATGCACGCCAGTCCACAGCACACAAACTATAACTTGAACTTTAGGCATGCCTCAGATGTCAGAGCAAGTAGGAAAGGATAGATAATGTACTCGTTTAAGATTGTAAATAAGCCTCTCCTCCTCAGTCATTAGCTTCTTTTTCAATTTTTTAGCTCTACGAATCTCCCTTAGAGTTTTACCAGACTCTTTCTGCATTCGCCTTTCCACCTTGCTCCGCATACTTCTTCCTTTTGATGTTGACATTGTTCGAGATGATATATTGAATGAATTCAATGGCTTGCCATAAGAATAAGACGTAACTTCACTGCCTGACTGAATTACTTTGCTTGATACATGATGAGATGTAGGTCCTAAAGATATACCATTCCTGAGCAAAAATAAATAGAATCAGCTTTAGTCTTAAGCTTAAAGAGGTTTTTTTTTTCCTTCTCTCTCTCTCTCTCTCTCTCTCTCTCTCTCTCGGGGGGGCAGTGAAGCTACAGAACTCTATTTTGCTCAGAATGATAAAATTATATAAGTACCGTACAATTTCATAAATTGAAATTCATAATATACAATGCAAATCAAGTACATTGATTGAGCAGTCTTCCAGTTTTATGTTGAATGAATAAAGACTAACAAGATAAAAGAAACAAAAAAAAAAATAGATTCGTTGAGCAGCAAAAATTATTTTTTCCACAAATCCAAAGAAAATGGGAAAAAAAATCTGAACCTTTTAACCTAGACAAATCAACATCTTCACTCAAACTAGGAAAAATTTGAATTTAGCAAGAAGTAAATCTCTTCCATGAGATTTTTATTGTATGAAAAATAGAGAGGGCAACATTCTTCTAATTGTTAACAGAAGCATCCATTGCGGCATCATAAATTACTAGTTGAGCAAAACATTGACAGTCTGACAAGGTAACTCAATCCCATTCAAACCTATACTTTTTAGACTGCAGAGTGCAGAATAAGGCATGGATGAAAATGACAGAGCATGATCTTTTGGTATTATAAGAAGCAAGATAGAATAGTTTAGGTCTATGTTGGATGGGAGTTATGCCGTCAGAATCCAGCCCATAAAATCGAACACTTATTAAGCAGCAACATCAGAGAAAATGACGATATCGGACCATTTTTTAAACTATACAGATAATGTTAAACCATATTAAATTTCGAAGACAGCCTGAGTTAAATTTCAGGGGCAAAAAGTAGAATTCTGCGAAAGAGAAAAAAGCACAACGATAACTTATGAACTTGGATCAGATGCAGCCAAAAAAAACAGTCGAAATCCGTTTCTTTGTTTGAACAAATGAAAGATAAAAGCCCATTCAACCTCAAAGAATTTGGCCAGGCAGACTGTACACGAAAACTGGTATACACCCAAAAAAAAAATGAGAAAGAAATGGCTCTTATCACTGTGAAAGTCCGAGCTTCGACGGGAGTCATAATGAATTCAATTAATTCTATTATCTAAGACACAAGGTGACATTACTGTGACTTCTCTTTTCCATTTTCTCAGTTCAAAAAGTAAAAAAGGGAGAGTGATGACACAGCAAATACATACTTGGAGAGATTAGATTGAAGGATAGAGTATGAGAACTTCAAGCAATGCCTCTGTAAATTTCTTGCAGCAAACATTGGCCTGTTAAGGAGCTTTTTGTTTGAATCAGTTTACTCGCTTCTGCTTTCTCTTGATTTCATGCTCTTCCAGCACCGTTGAGTTTTCTACGCTCGGTTTCTGAGGGTTTTAGCTTTTAGGTTGGGTTTGCCAATACATACAAAGGCCGAAAGGCCCGAAACACAGGTTTGATTCATGGACCCAAGATTTTTTTAAAAAAAAAAAACGTATTTTGGGGTTTAATAAGATTGGGAAATTTTGCCGAAGGCACCTAATGAAAATTTTCTTTTTTTTTTTAATTCTTGTTTTGTAATAAAAATAACAAATATTCTTATGTTGTCCTCGAAAATTTACAAAAATTTCAATGTCACATCCGCACGTAATTTCTCATTTCCACCTGTCAACAGTTTTTTTCAGAATAATTTAATCCCTCTACCTGTTAAACTTTTTCTAATTTAACTTAACTAGCATCGTTTTCATGTTATGGTTATTGTGAAATGACTTTCTTTAGATTTTGCTCGCATATATAGATATAAATTGACCAAAAATAACTACATATTGGGGCCATTAAAATGATAAAATGGCCATTTGAAAAAACGGTGCCATCAATAAAATCATGAATTCTTTTGCAAATTATAAAAGTCATTATTCTATTTATAACAGGTGTGGGGCAGCACATCTGACTTGAAGCAAAAAGAGACGTCCTCTCAAACTCACTCATTTCAACTCAAATTATTCAAGGACAAATTTCAAAGTTTTGTAATGTGATGAATCCTAATAGCGACTAGCACAATTTATCACCACCAGATAAATATCCTTGCGGATTCTTACATGTTACATTTTTATCCATAGTAATCAAACATGGGTTGGAATTCATTAGTAAACTATTTCTGAAAAATAGATTGACAATAAACTAAGTTCAGGTATATAAATACCACAATGCAAATGTGCATTCCATAGCCACCAGGTCTAGGAATGCCTGAGATTTTTACTCTAAAAAAACTTTCGAATATCTAAAATTCGAAATGTCCCTTCATAGCCATGAGAAAGGACTGATTGCTTGCTCTTGTGAAATTGACACACAATTTCCCATATTATCAATTAAAGAAGCATAATTGGTAATATTCAGCCAATTTGCTGGTAATCTTTACATACATTCAACACGCAATACATTACAATATAGATCAACATGCCACTTCCATGCCTTGCACATAACGAGTCACAGTTCAACTACCAATTCATGTAAACACCACCCTCATGCAGAGTGCTCAAACTCCAGAGTCAACTTAATGGGAAGCCGAAAGAGTTTAGGAACCTGAGATAGCCAGTAATGTTTCTGCCTGTGAGAATAAAATCATGACAAGTCAGCTTCTTATCCTTTCTTTGTATCATCCAAAAATAAATAAATCGTTGAAACTGAACAAGGAACATAAAGGAACATACTATACAGGTGAGTGAATAGAACAGTTACAGGGAGCTTAATGAGAATCATAGTCTGTCTATCCAGTCAAGTATACTGTCTTGAGAACAAAACTGCAAGTTCTGCCAGAAAAATGAGAATCAAATAGCATATTCATATACTGGTAAGTTCTATAAGTGGAGTGAGTGCGATTAGGAGCTTACAGAAAGTTGGAAATCTGGAGGAGTATCCAATTCCAAGTTATCCAGGTCAGAGATTCCAAAGGATGCATTGTCATTTCCAACTGACAAGTTTGTGTTGCTGGCAAAGCCATTAACAATGGTGGAGTTCATTCCAGAATCATTTAGTCTAGCAGAAGAATCTAAGATCTCCTTGCACAATAATATGTCATCCAAGCCATCAAAGTCAGAGTTTTCAGCAGCCTGTGATTCACCAGCCAACCATGCAGGGCCACTCGTATTATCCTCATCCTGAACATCAATTGCCGGTGCACTTGGCTCTCCAGGGACAGACTCGGCATCCTAAACATAAAAAAAATTCACAATAAACCAATGGGTGAGATACATTCAATTTATTGAGTATAAATCTGTCCTACGACCATTTTTCCACTTTAAATACTACTTAAAAGAAGTTCACAGAAAATCAAGATAACTTCACTGAATTTTTGTGTCAATCGTTACTTAAATGAATGCACTGTGAATATGCTTGATTCTTGGATACAATATTAAATGTGATCTATATTTTTCCTTTTTCTTGCAAAATAATCAACCTAAGTTACATGATTGTCATATAAAAATTTTGGTACTTACCTTATTGAATGACAGGAGTACTTTTTCATCAAATTATCATCACAGTCAGCAGAATTTCCTGGTCGAGGTGGATTGCGGGGATTTGGATTTGGGGTTCTTGGACTTGTTCGTGATGCCATATTATCTGATTCTTCAACTAATGGATTCTCCTCATTTTTCTCAAGCTGCTTCTTCTGATAAAAAACCTTTGAGACCACATATTCACCTTCCTTCTCCTCTTCTTCAGTCCCCAGATGGTATTGATGCATCACCCAATTCGATTTATATGGCTTTGAACCTTTCTCAGGTCTTACATAAAGAACCATGATCTTTTTAAAGCCTTTGTGTAGGCCATCTTCCACTACAGATTTGGTTTTACCTGTCTTGTGCCACCGCACATGCTCCTCAGTTGCACCATGATGATGATGAATTTTTCGACGCTTTCGTTGACCACAAGTATAGGCATTAATTGTTCTATGGAAGAAATGGACACTACTCCCATCCTTTTTAGCACCTGAAACAAACAGGTTACTTTTTTAGGCATAATTCCAGAAAGTTGCACTACGCTCGGACTTAGCCAGAGCCAAGAATCCTGAGAAAATTGAGCAATCAGAGCATGCGGAAGGGAATGCCAAACTGATCATGCAAAGATGCCAATAACTTGTGAAGTTTAGTAAAATAGCAATCATAACGCTTATCTTCACCCACTCCCCTAAAATGAAGCAAGGGTAAAATCATGATGTTATGTATCTAAAACAACAGTCAAATTAGCATTTATTAAACGTCAATAAGGTTTGGGAGTCACGTGGTAAGTTAAAGGCCCAGTAAAGGAAAGAAATCTCTTAGCGACTGATTGAAAATTTGATTCATAATTCAGTGTGCTAGACTTTTATTTGTTCTCATGGTAAGCTGTCATTGTCCAAATTATGAGTCCTGAAGTGGTAAATTTTACAATTATATGTTTCTTCTGTCCTTCATGCACAACCTATTCTACAAGATATGGCCCCAAAAAAAAAAAAGCCTATCCTACAAGACACCGTCACCTATCACCATTGCCCGTAAGAATTTGTTTAAACAGACTTCCTTTACATGTCTCTGGCTTGATCAGTTTACTTTATTTTACCAGGACTGGTAACTGATTGCATGTCTGAAAAATTAAGTTCAGTAATCCTCACCTGGAAGATTCTCAGGATGAGTGTAGCAAATCCCCTCAGCACCCTCCAGCGTTGGAATGAACTCATGGATAAACATGTGTGGCTCTGCATTTCCAATGCCACATTTTGCTGCTAAATGGTGCAAGAGTTCTATATCAGAAGGATCAAATTTTACACCAGCAGGAAAGCCAGGCCAATCAGGAAAAACCTGCAAAGGGAAAGTAGTATCTGTTAGACATCCACAACCAGTCAACACTTGCTAGAATGTTTGCAGAACTTAATTATGACGGCAAAATTTCCAAACTTCTGTACAAACAAAACTCAATTCTTGTATTAACAGAGTATATGCCTTAATTAAGAAATTAAAGGTTACATCAGTTAGAACAAGCGCAAATATTAGAGAAATACGAAGAGCTTTACTACAAGAGCTGAGTCTGTGGTGCACATAGTATTATTAAAGCCAATAATGAGCTGTGAATGATAATAAGGCGGAATTCCAGCATACATCACTATTATCAATATGCCAATGACAATTTGGACATTGACGATATGCCCCACAGTCTTTGATTTGCTCAGCTGAGGGCAGAGAACTGCTTTTCACTTTCTTGGCAAACCCTCCAACATCAATAAGCCAGCTCCTGGTAAACAAATAATTTTATTAGATCAACATTCCCCATGATAACTTTTATAGCGAAAGAACACTGAAATGAATAAAAATGAAAATATATTTGCTGACAAAAACCGTGTGCAAGACAAGCAACTACAAACAAAGTAAAATTGGCTGCTCAGAAACCAAAAAAATCCCGAGGACGAAGAGATTCAAAATAAACCTTTAATGAGAGTGAAACTTCGTTTATTTTATAGCGAGGTATCAAACTTGAGTTTAACTCAAGAACATGCACTATATACGGTTCATGGTTTCCACAAATCCGTCCAACTCTCCAACCAAGAGAAGGGTAAGCATAAGAGTGGTAAAGAAGAAAAGCACTAAGAAATACTTTGTGTGTGTGTGTGTGTTTGCAAGGTTCTTTTTTTTTTTTTTATATCAGATTTACGAAATAACTGGGCAAATATTCTCCAGGGAAGCTCTGCATTGTCATTTGCGGTTCACCCAAGATTTTCCTATAAAAAATGGGCATAAGCTAGACATGAGACAAAAGGTATACGTCACTTCGATGGATTACTAGCTGCTAACTGCTATTAGACTGATTCCAAGAAGGAAGAATCAGAAAACCCCGAATGGGGATGTCAGAATGCCCGCAAACTACATTTCTGCAAGCAAAACAGGCCATTCATCCATTGTCAGCCTTCAACCGAAAAAGCCGAAACCCAAACCCATCTGATTTGACACCTTACCCCAGTACTTATCCCAAAACAACGAGGAAATAAAATCCTCGATAGGACAACCTTCCTCTGTCATCATTTTCCAAAACAAACCCTCGAAAACACCGGGAAGAAAATTTCATTGTCATCCATCAAAACAATCGAGGACTCGAACCCATAAACATCGAACAATGACTTTGAAAAAAAAAACAAAGCCAGCAAGCTTCTACGAGTAACAGTAACCAACGAAATCTCCCTTCAAACTTCAAATTTCACCATTTTGCTAATCCTAAGCTCACCTAGCCATGCTATCGAAGAGCGAAAAGATGGCACCAAAATCGCATTCGAGACTCTAGAGAGAGAAGGGGGGAGAGGGAGGGAGAGGGAGGGAGACAGTGAGAGAGAAGAAGTTTCCGTG